CACTGTGTGGCAGGCATGGTGTTGGGCTCAGTATAGGGGACAGGGAAAATTGAGACCTATTTCTGCCCCAGCTGTAGTCCAAGAGCCCCTGCCTCTCATTCACAGTGAAACACACGGGCGGCATTTCCCTGATGTACATTTTGGGCAGCGCACCCTGTGTGTGACTTTCCAGTGGGAGAGGGTGGAATCCCTGGGAAACAAAGGCTTTGAGGTAGAAGGTGTATCTCGAGCTGGGCTCTGGAGGTGCAGGGATTCTCTGTGCAAGACAAACAGCACGAGCAAAGGCAAGGAGGTGGGAGTGAGGACTGTACAAAGAGGGGAGAGGGGGCAAAACGCCCAGCCAACAGACAGGGTTTCTGTTGAAGAGCGATAGGAAATGAGAACCAGTGGGTCTTCAAAATCCTTTCCCTGCACCCCTGCCTCACATCACATTGCCTTGCATGTGTAAAATGACAGTTTAGTAATATCTCCATTGACTGTTCCAAGCCACTCCCATGGCGTAGTTTATTTCATGCTCACAGTGATGTTTATGAAGTAGTGTAGTTGCTTCTTATGGCTGCCACTGCAAATTACACAAACTGGAACAACAACGTTGTTGTTGTTGCCTTACAACAACGTAAACTCATTCTCTTTCAGTTCTGGAGGCCAGAAGTCGGAAATCAAGGTGTAGACAGGCTTGGTTCCTTCTGGAGACTCCAGGAGCCTCTGTTCCATGCCTCCCTCCTGGATTCCGGTGGTTGCTGGCAGTCTTTGGCATCCCTTGGCTGGCATTGCTTGCATCACTGCAATCTCCATCTCCAGCTTCCATTGCATTCCCCTTCCCCTCATAGAAATACCTGAGACTGGGTAAGGTATGATGTTGTTCTCAGGCTCCCAGTTTGTGTAATTTGCAGTGACAGCCATAAGAAGCAACTCACATGGCCTTCATTTTTTGGAGACAGAGTCTCACTCCATCCTCACGGCTGGAGTGCAGTGGTGCAATCTCACCTCTGCCTCTCGGGTTCAAGCGATTCCTATACCTCAGCCTCCCAAGGCTCCCACTACCATGGCTGGCTAATTTTTGTATTTTTAGTATAGAAAGGGTTTCACCATGTTGGCCAGGCAGATCTCAAACTCCTGACCTCAGGTGATCCACCTACCTCGGCCTCCCAAAGTGCTGGGATTACAGGCATGAGCCATCATGCCTGGCCCATCACATGGCCTTCTTGTGAGGACACCAGCCATTGGATTTAGGTCCCTCCCTAATAGAGTATGACATCATCTTCATTACATCTACAAATACACTATTTCCAAATAAGGTCACATTCACGTGTTTTAGAGATTCGCATGTATTCACGTGTATCACATCCACATATCTTTTGCAGGAACACAAGTCAATCCTCAACAGGTGGGTACTTTACTACCTCTGTTGTATTTGTCTGTTCTCGCATTGCTATAAAGAAATACCTGAGACTGGGCAATTTTAAGAAAAGAAGTTTAGCTGGGCACAGTGGCTCACATCTGTATCCCAGCACTTTGGGAGGCCAAGTGGGGGCAGATCACTGGGTCAAGAGATCAAGACCATCCTGGCCAACATGGTGAAACCCTGTCTCTACTAAAAATACAAAAATTATCTGGGCATGGTGGCATGTGCCTGTAGTCCCAGCTACTCAGGAGGCTGAGGTAGGAGAATTGCTTGAACCCGGGAGGCAGAGGTTGCAGTGAGCCAAGATCATGCCGCTGCATTCCAGCCTGGGCAACAGAGCGAGACCCCATCTCAAAAAAAGAAAAGAAAGAAAGAAAGAAAAGTTTAACTGCTCACAGTTCCACAGTTCTGCAGGCTGTATAGGAAGCATGATGCCGGAATCTGCTCAGCTTCCGAGGAGGCCTCAGGAGACTTACAATCACGTTGGAAGGTGAAGGGGGAACAAGGTGTCTCACATGGTGGGAGCAAGAGCAAGGTGGGGGCGCAGGTGCCACACAGAAGGATCTGCTCTCATGAGCCAATCACCTCCCACCAGGCCCCACCTCCAGCACTGGGAATTACAGTTGCACAGGAAATTTGGGTGGGGACACAGATCCAAACCATGTCACCTGTTGTATAGCTGAAGAAACTGAGGCACAGAGAGGAGAAGCAACAACCTCACAACATGCTCACGTGCAGATGGCAGGGCCTGGGAACCCACACGCCACCTCCACCATGGCCAGTGCAGTACAGGACAAGGGGTGGTCTAGAAGCTAAGCTCACCACCCATCAGAACAAAGGATTGTTTTGTCTTATGCCAGTTTGCACTCACCTGTGTTCTAGAAAGGTGTGAGGCTGTTGGAACTTCCTCAAGTCCGAGGTGTCCCTTTGGGGCCCTAGAGGGAAGGGCCATTAGCCACATGGTAGGAGGTCTAAGACCCTGGCCACAGTGCCTTGTGGCCTTTACCCCTCTGGGGTCTCTTTTTCAGACAGACAGACTTTTAGTAAATATTCATCAATCTCCCATGCCCTATGCTGGGCGCTAAGGGAGACTAAAGATGAACCAAAGCCTGCCCAAGCATGCAGGGCCTCCCCCTGTTTGGCCTCGGTGTGAGGGGATGCTGTTTGCATGGTCAGGAATGGAAAGGTGGCAGAAGGGGCAGGGGCTGGGATCAGGGGAGAGGTTTATTGCAAAGAAACAAGCATGACCCTTAAGGCTTGCTTATGATTTTACAAATCTGGGGTTTTAACAGTGAAACAGTCAGTGGGCCTCTGCATCTAGCACTGTGCTGCCCTGGCTGCCAAAGCGAAAGAGCCTGGTCCCTGCACTGGCAGCTGACCCAGCAAGCTGACTAGATGACAAGCCTTGTGGGGACGCTGTCTCAGGAAAGGAGTCCAGGGCTTGCGTAAGGTGCCAGGGGGCACGGAAGAGGGGCATCACTGAGTTTGTTTTCAAAGTTTATCTGTGTTCTACAAAGATGAGGGCATGCCTCCATGGGAAGGAAGGCCGCTGGCTGTTGAGTATGCCTGGTATGTAGGCTGGGCTTTCTGTGTACGTTACCACTAACCCACTCCAGGCATTCCTGAGGAAGGCCCTTCCTTCCATTCCCATTTACAAATGGAGCCTCCGTCTCCCCTCCCTGCTGCTGAAAGTCTTTTGGCCTGAGCCTCCCTTGGCCACGCCTGTGCTGCCCCTTGTGGAAGGAGTCGGCAATGCACCAGATGCAGACACTGGGTGGCGCTGGGGCGCCCGGGGCCACACCTACCTGTGAATTCCAATGCCACTGGCCGGGGTCTCTCAGACTTGAGTCATTTGTAGGCATCCTCCAAATACCTCCTGTACCATCATCTAGTTAATATTTTTCTTTTCTTTATATTCTCTTTTAAAACTTTATATCTATCCCAATGGGGAACCATGATTTTCTTGCCATAAATAGACAAATTATTTTTTTTTAATTATGTGAACTGTTGAGAACAGTTTGATATGCAGAAAGAAGGCAAATATAAAAACGAAGCTAATCGTACACAACACGTTGGTTCATGTATCCCTGTAAGCATCTCAGAGACCTCTAATGCTGTGGAGTACTGTCGTGGGCTTTGAAAACAGAACCACAAACTGATGTCCCCTATGTGTGTGTGGCTTTAGGGAAGGGCTCCTTTCCCTTTACAGGTAGGAGGACAGAGGCACTGAGGGGGAAAGGGTGCGCTCGAGGCCTCATTGCGTGTTCCAGGCTCAGAGCCGGACCTGGAAGCCGGGTCGTGCCTTCCCTCTCTATCACGTGGAAACTAGAACCTTGGGAGACTGAGACCACAGTGGGACGTCCACATGTTTCTTGGCCCCTCTGGAGCCAGAGAGCACTCATGTGGGGCTCCCACCTGCAGGGAGCATGACTGTTCGGTGTGGGGAGTGCGAGGATGAGTCGGGAGTTGTGGGAGCTGGTGCCTGCCGGGCACCAATGAACAGTGGGACCTCCAACAACCTGCTGAGCCCCTGTGAGCCCCTCGCCCTGTCTCTCCCAAGCAGAGCAGAGCGTGGTGCTGTGTTCTGCACTGGTCAGTCTGGCCCCGGCTTCGGGCACTGACAGTCACATCCTGGCACCCTGCCCCTCCAAGCAGCCACATCCACCCTGGCATGGATTTTGAACAAAAGCTTTGATCCCTCTTCCTTGCCAGAGCTATAAACGTTAGGGTAGCCCTTACCCTTGGGTGAGCTGTGCAGCCAATCAGGTTAGGTTCTAAGAGGCCCTGGAGATCTGGGTGAAAGGCCAGTGGCTCCACTGCTGTGTCCCAAACCTATGTTCCTCCTGGAGGCTGTGGCGGAACTGGGCAACACCTCTTCTGCTGGCCTCTCCTGGGCCTCAGAATTGCCAAGTTCTGAGACTGCTGCTTGGGATGACTGTGATCTATTAAAAATGTTTAATTCCGCTTTGTAGTCTAGAACCTTCTGCGTTATTTTGCCAAAAATGATGAGTGTATATTAACACCAGCTATTCTAATAGTGATGTGGTTTGGCTGTGACCCCCCCCCCCAATCTTATCTTGAATTATATCTCCCATAATTCCCGTGTGTTGTGGGAGGGACCCAGTGGGAGATCATTGACTCATGGGTGCAGTCTCCCACATACTATTCTCATGGTAGTGAATACGTCTCACGAGTTCTGATGGTTCTATAAGGGGTTTTTCCTTTTGCTTGGCTCTCATTCTCTCTCTGCTCTGTGCCTTTCGCCTTCCACCATGATTGTAGGCCTCCCCAGCCACGTGGAACTGTGAGTCCATTAAACCTCTTTTTCTTTATAAATTATCCCGTCTCGGGTATGCCTTTATCAGCAGCCGGAAAACAGACTAATACAAATAGATAATCCCCTAAAATCTCAGTGGATTGACATGACGGAAGTCCATTTCTCACTTACTTGAGGTCCAGCTGGCAGCTGATGTGTATGGGGCCACATACAACCCGGCATGGGACCCAGAATGAGCACGGAGATGTGTCCCCTCTTTCCCCCCTTTTCCTTGGCAGAATACTCACCTCACCCAAGGCCCTTCTTGTCTCTCCCCAGTATCGTACCTGGAAGGCTCCGTTCTTGTGTTTGAGGACATCTTCAGACTGATTGCGTTCTACTGTGTCAGTAGGTGAGTAGACCCAGCCCTGCAGGAGGTCGTCTGGTTGCAGCAGACATCCTATGCAACCCTGGGTGGGTGCAGGGGACTTCGCAGGGAAGTCCCAGAGGGAGGGATGCAGCCCAGAGGATGCAGAGAGAGGGCACAGGCCCCTCTGGGAACCACAAGGGGACTTGAGGCTCTGAGAGGCTTTCTCACATTAGCTAATAAGAGCCCCTCCTTCCACACCTGCACCTGTGGCTCTCGACCTGTCTCCCAGCTTCCTGTGTTATCAGCTTCAAGGACAGCCTGGAGTCCTGTGTGGACCAGACCCCCATTGGAGGGGTTCTAGAAGGATCTTCCTGTAGGGGTACTAACAGGAGCTGATCCTCCTTCATGGGAGGTGGCTTGTGATTACTAAGCAGCTGCTGGGTGAAGTGGGTGTCTGCTAACCACCCTGAGAATTGTCTGTTTATTCAGAACTGGTTTGGGGTAAGAATTAAAAAATACATTTTGGTGCCGTAAGCCAATGACTTAAGCTACAGGATCTTAACAAGAGCTGGTGAGAGACTGGGTGTGGTGTGTTGGGGTCCAGCAGTGGGCTCCAGGCCCACAACTCCCTGCTGCCTCTGATGAAAACCATGCTCATCCTAGACCACCCCTCCCCAGCTGCCAGAACCCTCCTGAGTCCAGATGGGCAGGAAAGGTGAGGCTGATAATGTCACCGGTGGAGGATGTCCAGGTTCTTGCCTTCTTGAACAAAGAATTGGACAAAACACACAAAGCAAGAAAGGAACGAAGGGGTTTATTGAAAATGAAAGTAGACTCCACAGTGTGAGAGTGGGTCCGAGCATAGGGGCTTAAGGTCCTTCTTACAGAATTTTGGGGAGTTTAAATACCCTCTAGAGGATTCCATTGGTTACTTGGGGTACACCCTATATAAATGAAAAGGATGAAGTAAAGTTACAAAGATACTTACTTGGCCTACGCCCTATGGAGAGGTTATTTCCTGTTTTAGCTGAAGTATGAATCGACCTATGTTCACTGCCGCCAGAACCTATTTTCCTGCCTCATCTCTTCCCTGAGAGATATGATCAATCTTTATGGGAGGCAGAGGAACCAGTGGTCTCTTTCTTTTCTATAACTGCTTCATGCTGGCTTGGGGCATAGTCCGTACCTATTGGGGATCAAGGAACTCTCATCTGCTCTGTCTGGTGAAGGCAGGGTAGCTTCTTGATGGCCGGGGTGGTGTCTTCACCTGGAACTGACTGGAGGCTTTGTTGCATGATCATCTGAAGCTTGATGTCTCTAGGTGAGAGGAAATGAATTTGGTTAAAAGATTTAATGGGAACTTCAGGGGGTGGCTACCTATGCTGTCAGGAATGTTTGTTATAGAGATTTGCAGGAGAAAAGAGCAAAACCTGGTCTGTTCTAGAATCTATGTGTTTCCTTAAAGCCTTAGCACAAGTGATTCCATTTTGGTTTGGTTTGGTTTGGTTTGTTGGGGCCTAGTGAATGAGCTTAGTCCAAAACAATGGCTTCCTCGAATTTTGTTTTAAAAAACTCCCCCTTTTTGGTTAAGTTCTCACTTAAGTGAGAGTGTGACCAAAACTTAGCGTCTTAGCACCACTCACAGTTACCGTCATTTTGGGTTTCCAGTCTCAGCATGTCATTCATAGGATACGGTGTCTTCCTGGTCACACACTTCTTTCAGCTCCTGTTATTCCAGCTGAAGAGAAACCATGTGACATTCTAGAGATGGCTGCATGCAAGCATTCAAAACCTTTGAGAGAATCCAGCTTACCAGGGAGACCCATTATTATGACTGTTGGGAGGACAATAGTGAGAAATTGGAGCGTGCCCCTTACCCAAGGTCGCCGTAAACCAAACCTCCTGAAATCAAATAGATCAAAGCATGACTTAACTAAGCAGTTTCTCTGTTAATCCCCTACTACTGAATTTCTATAATCTTCATTTAATGTATTTCTCCAGAGGCCACAAGTGCCAGCAGCTGCACAGATACTTCTTTGTTCAGCCAAGTCTATCATAACTTTCACAAGAGGATTTGAAGTCCGTTGTGTAGCTGTAGCCTTTACAGTAGAATCTGCTATAGAGCCTATCATGAGGAATACATTTCTAATCATTGCTTCTTTCCCTTTAAACCACGGGAAAAGGGTCAAACAAATGATGCCCTTGTAGAAGAGTGAAGGCCTCCTGGCAGTGTTCTCTTTAACCCGTGATGTGGGTTAAGAAGAATGAGCCAATGTTTTGTTTCTGACTGATTATGAGGCCACCCTAATGAGGTACCATGAAAGTTTTTTTTTAAACCTACATTGCGCCTTTATCCTTTATCCATCAGAGTATAAGTTTATCCATGTATAAGGCTGGCTGCAAACCCCTTCGCAAATGAAACTGCACATAACAGACCCTTTTCCATGTCTATTGTTCATAGAGGCATAAGCAAGGGAAAATATTCAAAGATAAGAGTTTCGTGATAGTAGAAGCCTTAACCTGTGAACTTGGGAAGAGCTGTTTGCTTCAAGGATTCCATCTTCTGGGGAGAAACCTCCCTGTTAGCCTTACCCCAAGGGTTCCAATGGCTGCACAGCTCCAAGAGCGTGGAGGGACCCTTCTCAGTTGTGAGGTTGTGAACCCAAAGTTTAAGGTCCCAAAGTTTTGTTGCAGTGTGGATGGCAAGGACAGTCTTTCTCTGATGTTCTCAGAAGATCCAAACTATAAAAAGCGTTTTTACCTGGTGAAAATACACTGTAGCATAATAATCTACTGTTATAACATCAACCCGCCTGCATGGGAAAGCTTTCATACAACCAGAACACATGCACTGAAAATAACAACGGAATGAAATCCCTTTATAAAATGTTTAAATGGCTCATCAGGTGACCAAATCTACCTGAAGCTTTCATTGTTTTCCCAGGAAGATGTGATCAAGCATTGATTATAAACTATTATAGTAATTTATAAGTCACTACATCAATGTATTTGATTTGCATCATTTTATCTTTTCCATGGTGAGTCATGGAATGCAGAACTTTTAATAGTAAAAGCTGCAAGGACTCAGGAAGGACAAGATGGCCATGCTGGTTCTCCACGAGGCCATGCTTTATTAACATTAGACTTACATCCTTTGGATACCAGTTGTTTTTCCTAATTAGGTACATAGCACTGACAAGAAAATTTGGTTATTTTTGTGGTTTATAGTAACTTAACATAATAATCATAATTGTAATTGATAGCATATACTTAGACATTAAAATGTTAGAAATCCCATATAATTTTGGAACATATATTACTATTATTCACAAAAATATAAACCCCCAAAAATGGAACATCATTTGGCAATCCCATGTACCTAAACGTGTCAAATGACCCTGTTTACCTCCTTTCTGGATGTTTTCAGGGGCCCTCTGATCCATCCAAAGAGCCAGACCTTAGGAAAGACAATTTTGAAACTGAAGTTTGATTTTGGAATTCCAGAATACTATAAATTATTTATTTTGCCAAAATGTCTCAGAAATTTTCAAGCAGTAAAAACTTTTTATAACCTTTTACAAAAAAAAAAAAACAAAACACATTCTACTGTTCTTACTTTGCATATAAAACTGTTTCTTGTAGTCTTAATTGCATGTTATAATGGCAAATCTTAACATAAAACCTGTTAAGTTATGTTCTGACAAGGTTTGACTATTCCCAGCATAGCTAGAGCCAACTCCACCTGTCCGCAGGCCTTTACCTAGCTGGAAAGCAGGCAAGTTAAACAATTTTTAAAAGCCAAAGAAGTGGCTATTTGGAATTGGAGAGGATAGGCCTGGAAGGAAAAGGTCTAGCTATGTTAATAGGGATTCTTTACAGATGAGAATTTCCCCCCACAAAGGATGGCTTTCAGGGCCATTTCAAAATGTGACCAAAAAACGTGTTTTGGGGGAAAAATATTTTTATTTTCTTCTTTGTCTCGTAATGTTATGCCAGAGTCAGGTTGGAAAATAAGTCACACTGTATAGGGTTAAATGAAACCCATCTGATGAGAATTTTATGGTTTGTAGGGCATGACTCCTCAGACCCCTTAGATAGGCATTTGGACACTATTTCAAAAATCAGAGTTTAGTCCTCGTTACTTTAATCAAGACTAACAGCTTTAACTATAAAAATGTTAGTTAACCAAATGTCTCCAATTCTTTATCAGGTCTTAAAGAATGTTTTATTATTTAAACTTTGTCCACATCTTTCTCCCCTATTTAATGGTTCCTTGCCATATTGTTTCATAAATAATCTTTTCAGATCTGTAATTTGAACTAACTTTTAGATAATTTCTGAAATAGGCAAAATTATTCTTTTTTTTTCCACTAATAACATAACCCTTTCTGGCACATTTTGTATATGAAATTACATGTTAACTAGAATTTTTATCCTTAGTAACCTAAACTCTTACTGAAACCCTAAAAAGCAAGAAATCCTGAACTATTAGATATGGGCATTTATAGACAAGAGCAATTCCACAATTTTAGAAACATATTTCCCCATATCACAACCTTCTTTAACTGGAAATGACTCAGATAGTAAATGAGCGTCAAAAATAACTTTAAGAATTTGATTTACACAAAAAGTTTACCTAAAATATTTATCCCATTCACTGTACTTATTTTTTTACTTTTAACAAGGGAGACAGGAGACATCGATCAACATATGTAACATGAACACTGGTTGGGTCAGGAAAGGTGGGGCAACTTAAGGCAGGGAGGGGACTTGGGGGCTTTCAGATCACAGGTGGGTGTGAGACAAATGGTTGCATTCTTTTGAATTTCCCATTACTCTTTCCAAATAGGGCAATCAGGTATGCACTTAACTCGTGAGACTTTGAATAGAATGGGAAGCAGGCTTGCTCCAAGCAGCTCCCAGCTTGAATTAACAATGACATTTTAAAATATCTAGCAGAGGCAAATATAAAATTCAGACAAAATGTGTGTTGACAATTCTGAAGGCATTTGTTTTTATTCCACCAATAATTTTTAAGCTAA